GCCCCATAATCACAGCTCTATGGAGCAGCATCAGACTCATTCTGACTAGAATTGAGTCGGACTACGTCAGGCTATAAATGGCTCGCCATCTCGCCCCGTCTCCTCCAGCAACGCCCAGCGCCATTTATTTTTCAGACCTTTATCTATGGTCGTGACGTCTTCCCCCGAGCTCATGAACTGCATGGTTCCTACTCCATGCAGTTACGTTCTCTCTATCGTCCTTCTCTCCAAACGCCAAAGTTTCATTTATTTAATTTTTGACTTTTAGCACGTTTCTCCGTAAATTAGAGCCATTAATGGCACAAGGTGACTCTCCGTGTAGAACTTAAGCACTGTACCACAATCTATCTGGCGACTTGAGCAAGAAACGAGAGGAGGAGGTACATGCTTTCCTAAGACCCGCCCCCTTCTTCTTCTGATTGGCTAATACTGTTGGTTTCAGAGTGCCCCTTTGCTTCCATTGGCTGATAAACGTAAGAGGGATTTTGATTGCCTTTTTTTTTTTATTTACAATTCAATTTATTTTCAAGGGATTTTTTTTTTCAATCGCTATAAGCCGGAATACTCTAATCCCTGATAAAATGTTAGAAAAATAATATTCCCAGTATGTGAACTTTCAGGTTCTTCAGACTGGTTGTAGCGCCCCTCCAGTGTAAACTCAGGTACACTGGATAATGATTAAACCAAAATATGTTTAAGCAAGGATTATTTTAAGGGTGAAATGTTTCCTCCTAATAACTTTCTTTTTTTTGTCGATTTGGACTGGATATGTGTCACAATAAGATGATTTACTGATAATTAAAACCTGAGTTTTTAGCAGAGGTGTGTTCACTTTTATGACCCTTTCTAAACACAGAGCTGTTTTCCCTGTAATTCCAAACTAAATGAGCATTATGTGGGCGCTTTAAAGAAAAATAGACAAACTGAAATGTTTATGACCTAAAATAACTGATGGTTTATCTGCATCGGAGGAGCAGAGTGAACTCAAATGTTCTTGGTTGTGTTAATCTAGCCATAGTTTCAGGGAGAGGCTATTAGTAAGTTGAGGGCAGAAATAACAAACGGTTTTCTAAAAACACTCAAACCTGCAAAATGCACAATGCACCGTTTGTAATCACAGATGTGTTTATTTCAGTGATTTTTCACAGATAACTCAGAATTCAAACTACAGGCGTTCAGACTGAGGTGGAACACATGATGCATGGTGCTTTTTGCAGGTGAAAGCTAACCTTAAAAGGAGGGGGGCTATAGGAGGTTAAATCACAGATGGGGATTTTTTAGGTTGGGGTGGAGGCTAATAGTGACGGAGGAGGTTTAGTTTTAAGGATGTGAAAAAGGGAAGAAAATCGTGGTTCAAACGTGCTTCGTTTGGCTACCTAATGAAGGGCAGAGCGGGAAGCTGGGAGGAGCTGCACTGTAAGGAGGTCAGTTACATGGAGGAGAGATGTAATGAAGGTGAGTATACCTGGGGGGGTCTCCTTTGGGTGGTGGGGAGGCGGAGGAGCAGGGGTCAAAGACGAGGTGGGCGAAGCCGTGGTTGGAGACGGAGCGGATGGAACCGGCTCGGCCAAACACTCAACAGGCTCCTCCCCGCTAGCGCTAGCATCTACAGAAATAAAATAAGCAAAACGTATTCATCTATATTTATAAAACAAACAGAAATTACTGATTGAGGTATTCGTTAGAAATCTATAAGCGTTCCTCTTTGATATAGCAAACATATCTAGACAGACAACTTCAATTTATAGAGGACAATCTTTTATTTCCGGGTGGATCATCTCAATAAGTGGTCCTCCTTTATAACTAATACTAACTGTCAATCATTCTGGTGATATGTTTACGTAAGGCCGTCCTACGTGCTCGTCCCGTTAGCCATCTTTTTCTGCGTATATCTGTGGTTTCAGACAGTCATTGAAGCTCACCTTTCTCACCATGGTTCTTTGAAAATGGCCGAGGGTCGGAAGAAAAAAGTGTCTATGAAGAGTATGAGAAGAAAAGAAAAGCCTCAGAAGAGGCAGATATATCCCAGAATGCTTTGCGCTGAGAGCTCTCCTCTGCAAAGCATTATGGGATTTGCTGTCACAGCGGCCTCAGCTGTGACCTGACAGTGGCGACTAATAACAAAGATGGCGTAGGCACCGCGCAGTGGAGGAGTTAGGTGACCAACGTAGTGAAAAGCAGTGATCATCTGTCTGAACCGTCAGTTAACTGAGTTCACTATAAAGTTCACTATATAGTCCCCGCTCTATAGTGATGGAGGGATTTAGGGGTTAGGGCGGACGGACAGACTCAGTGAGCTCGTATGAGAACAGCAACTTTTAAACAGAGAAATGGGCCCATTTCTCCTCGTGCACGCTCTCACAGGCGTTAATAGGGTTTCCCTCTCGGGAGCGGATACAGGGTTGTGCATGTGCAGTTTCTTTTAAAGTGGAGAGGGTACCTTAAAGGTACAGAGGCTGTACCTTTAAGGTACTAATGCCAACAGTGTGACACTCTTCTTCAACAGAGAAAAATTCCAATGAAATGAATATTTTTCAATATAAAATCATCCAGTTGATTTCTATTCAGTATAAATATTTCGAGGTATGATTTAACTACTGTTGTCGGAAAATTTTTTATCCCTCTTCTATTATATATTAATTTATTCTATTCACTCACTATAAAAGTTTTCACTCAGTCTGTTTCTCTCTCAAGGCCACACCATTCTCTGCAGGATGGTGTTTGTTACGGAGCCCCTCTGATGACATGGTCAAAAAAAATTTTTTAATTGTGGCCACGAAATACTACTTCGTGGCCACAATTAAAAAATTTTTTTTGACCATGTCATCAGAGGGGCTCCGTAGTTTGTAGACCAGACATAGCTTCTTCCCATAACAAATCAGATTCTTTCTCAAGTTTTATTCATAACATGTTACTGTTTAACCAACATGTTTGTAATTTGATTTGACTTTGACTACTTTCGCATTGTTGTAAGTAGAACACTGCTATAGCAGAACAGGGCAGAATGCCGTGCCATAAGGGCTTCATGATGAACTGTTCTCTCTTTG